GTGCTAATGTGTGCCAGTCTCCCTCTCTTCCTCAGCACCAGTGTGTGCCCCTCTACCTCTCCCTCAGTGCCAGTGTGCCCCTCTCCCCCGTGCTATTGTGTGCCAGTCCCCCTCTCTTCCTCAGCACCAGTGTTTGCCCATCTCCCACTCTTCCTCAGTGCCACTGTGTGCCCATCTCCCAGTTCCTGCGTTTCCCGGTACCAGTATGTCTCTCTTCCTCAGCCTCACCAGTACAGCGTGGCGGGGTCAGTGCCCCTGCGCAGCTCCACCAGTTTATCACGCGTCTGCGTGTCGAAGAGGCGGATCAGGGTACCCTTGCGTGAGGCAGAGGCGGCCACACTGCCCTGCTGGTTCAGCGCCACGCAGGCAATCTCGCTCTGATGGGCGTTGATGGTGAAGGGGGCCGAGGACGTGCCGGGTTTCGTGTTGGACAGGTCCTGCAGTCGATATGTGTAGCAGACAGTGAGCTGACAATACTAACTCAATACAAGAGACCTCTTTGTCAATACGGACTCTTCTGTCTCACCACGAGCTGCAGGCTGCCACACTTGTGTCCTGGAAAAACCAGCAACTGCTTCTCCAGGCTGGGGCAGAGGTCACACAAGCCTGCACGAGAGAGGAAAAGGAAAAGAGATGGAGATTTAGTACTAGAGATGCAGCCATAATCTGAGCCTGTGCAAGAGAGGCAGTGTGGCTGATATATAGTAGAGTAGAGTAGTTTATTGACATATGTACACGTACACTGGAATTCTTAATCATGCTGATCTCTTGGGACATACACAGTACAACAGACAACACAACACAGTGTAGACAACAAGAACAATACATATATTGTGGAAAAATAAATATGTAGAAGTGAGACAGAGAAATAAAGGGTAGACTATGTAAAATGTGCAGAGTGCAGATGTGCATTGAGTCTAAGGCCCTACAGTTAGCTGTTGAGCAGGTGCACTGCAGTGGGATGGAAGCTGTTCTGGAAATTACAATAAACTGGTGCTAAATCTGAGTAAGAGATACTTGGAGGGACTACAGACCTAGTAACTTATTCACTGGACCATACATGAAATTAACACTGCACTGAGTCTAAGAGAGAGGGCTGGATCAGTGCCCTGTGAATGTGGGCACGTGGAATCCCATCTTTCCAAGGTACCTTTGGGGTTGTCCCTGGTGTCAAACTCAAACAGCTTGGTGGGGTTGTCAGGGAAACTGTAGACATAAATCCTGTTCTTCAGGACAATGATGATCCTGCAGAGAGAGTGAAGGGGAGGGAAGAATTTTGGGAAGAGTAAAAAACAGTAAGATCAGATAGAAGGGGTTTGGAGGTGTGTGTGTGAGGGGGGGGGGGTTAATAGCGCAAGACCAACATCAATATGTACAGCATAAAAGTAATCAGCCCAACCTGGAGACAGTTGGGTCAGTCTGAGCAGACAGTATGTTAAGTCACAGGGACAGTAAGGCCTGTCTGTGAGAAATTAGTTCAATCGGGGCAGTCAATTCGGCCTAGAGACAGCTCAGTCCACAGGCATTCAGTTCAGTCTGGGGATAACCAGTTCAATCCCTGGGGACAGTACGTTCACCACTGGGGGGCAGTACTCACTTATCGTGCCTCATGAGGACTGCTAGTACTGGTTTGGTAAAAGTAAACTCCAACACCAGCTTCTCCTTTGAGTCCCGAGTCTCCCGTGCATCATCCCAAATCAGCACTGCGGACAAAGACACAGGCACAGTCAGTAGCTAGGGCACACAGTCACCCACACACAATCGTAAAGACACTGGGGCACACACACACAGGGATATTCAGACACACAATCATACAGGCTCTGAGGCACACACACAGGAACAGTCAGATAGACACATACAACCGTACAGGCACTGGGGCACACACACAGGGACAGTCAGACAGACTACACACAATCGTACAGGCACTGGGGCGCACACACACAATCATACAGGCACTGGGGCGCGCGCGCGCACAAACACACACACACACACACACACAGGGACAGTCGGTCAGACTACACACAAGCGTACAGGCACTGGGGCACACACACACAATCATACAAGCACTGGGGCACACACACAAGGACGGTCAGTCAGATAGACGTACCGGAGATCTCTGAGAATTTCGGGTTGCTTCCTCCTCCCACGATGGCCAGCAGATTGGAGCGATGGAGCATCGAGCACAAAGCCACACTTCCCACCTGCTCATGATCTGAAACACCACGTGACAACGGCACAGTCACTCCACAACATAGACAGCACCACCGCGTCTTCGCAACACCATCGACTGATGTGACAGCGTCCTTCTAAAAGGGCCCGAAGACCAGTCAGGGCCACACTCACAGAGCTTCAACGCGACAGACTCGATCACGCAGAGATCTCTCACCCAGGTGCCCTTTCTCCATCAGCGGCTCCACATTGAAGATCCTCACCCCAGTCTCCATGGCACAGCAGAAACAGCCTGGGGGCACACAGCGGGGTCAGAAAAGGGCACAGCAAATCATTTTGTGTTACAGAACAGCACAAAACAGAAGAGAGATACAGAGGAAGGCGAATTCTCACTCTGGTCCTGGTTGAACTGAAGACTGTTGACTCCCCTTTGCTGAGCCATGTCTGTCTGTGGATTCCTACTCCCTGGAAAAGAGCACATAGGTGTAGCCAGTTGGTAAGGAATGACCAGACAAACTACCCTGTCAGTGACAGAACAGCCCTATATTAAATACCTTTCTTGATGATGATGTAGGCTGTTGTGAGATGACCCAGAGCTGAGATGAGTTGGTTTCAATATCACAGTCCACTCAGAACTCACTCGATATGCAGCCATGGCACAATGCTGTATAGGCCAAACTGAACACCAGTGTGAGTCTGTCTACAAGGTATGAGCCTACAAACAGGGATGCCCAGTCCTGGTCCTGGACGAACATTTTGCTGCTTTTAACAAGCTAAATCATCTGGGTACTGGATTGACTGGACTAGTGTAGGTTTCTGCTGGATCTTGAGGTGTTGAAGATGGGCAGGACACCCCTGGTCTATGGTAATTCTGAACAAGAAGAAAATGTCGCGATGTGAAAATGAAAACAAAACGGTGGCTACCGTGCGCTAGGAACAAGCTGCCTAGCCGCGCTGCTGAATCTGACTCTCATGGATCCTTCGACTCACGGGCCCATCAGCTTTTCAGCAATCTGCTCTTGTTATGCTGAGCTGTGAATCTGGATCCACCTGTATTATCCTAATCAGTTTCACGCTGGTCACAGGGCCACAGACACATTATCACGATTTTTGTATCCGTTTGTATGGTTTACTTTAAAGACTAGTGTCGAGCACCTGAAAGACTACTGTTGTACTAAACAAAAGCAATAACACGTTAGCTCAGTCTGAAGCACAACAAAAATCTCTAATTCCAGCAACTCACGGGAAACCGCAGTAATCCAGTGACATTCACAGACACACGTTTCACAGTCCAGATCCAGCACTTACCATTAACAGAGACAGGGGAATCACACCGCAGATGTTACAGCAGTGAACGACACTGACGATCCCGACTATTTTTCAGACCTCCACTCGGATTGACACTGCTGTTGTTGTTATTATTGCAGGAGGGTCAAACATCTAATCTACTTCCGGGTCACACGGAAGTATCGCAATGGGAAGTAACTGAGTCCCACGTTCCACCATACTGGCTCAAATGGCCTAGCTCCGTTCAGGTGCAACCGAAATGACACCAAATTCAGAAAAAAATATTTTTTGATAAGGCATCATTTGACTGAGGAGAAACAACACTAGCAATGCCCGTGTAACCAAGACAAACCCCGTCACGGAATAAACGCGGCGAACGTCGAACGCGTTTCAGAGAAAAGGAATATTTTCCTTCTAGCGGTACATGACTGAATTGCAGCAGTATCTCTCGAATGCCAGCCAGGAAGAATTTGAGTCTAGGTGGCAAACTGGCTTTTTGTGAACACGATACGGAAATAAAAAATGATCGATATGTTGTTGAAGTTGTTCATAGTTAGGTAATTGATCTCTTATGAGATGAGTTATACTCTCCAGAAACAACAAAAAAAAAACAGTGATGGTCACATTTAAGTTGAGGAAATCTTTCGTGTTACCGGCGTCACAGTGAAAACTCAACCACATTTCAACAGATGCCTAGACACAGCCATTTTAGATCTGATTTAAATTGACTTCTGGGTCTATCAGAAACAGCTCCCGAATACACATTGACACTTTTCTTGGGTTCTGATGAAGACAGTATCAGTGACCGATGTTCTTTAAACTAATGCTTAAAACAACCAAATCAAAAACGTTTCTGACAGAACCATTTAACTATTTTTAAAATTCCGACATTGTAAATTGCAGAGGAGAACACGCCCCGCTAAACACGCACCAGATACCGTTACGACTTTTAGCCAACCAGCGCCCGGTTAACGGAAATCCAGCCAGCAATACCTGCTTCTTAAAGAGCAATGTTCTGTCTAACCAATCACCACTGGGAAGGAGGTCCTTAATATGTTTGTAAGCCTATCAGCGAAGAGAGAGGGTGGGCATTTGAAGACCTACAGGCCAATCAACGCCTTAGAGTTTGATGCGAAGTGCAGCCTCTTGGTCGCGTTCGTGCGGCGCAGGTCTGCGCAGAGACACAATCGCTAGGGTGGTGCGCGGATCAAAACCGATCTATTTTTTCCTTAAAATCGACTGTAAGGACAATGTCAACATTACAGCTTCTTTGCTGAATACAACACGGTTGTAATTTATAGTGTAACAGGGATATCTCACTAGTCCTAATCATTTTTAGGAACAAGTAATAGTTTTATACCATGCTGAAAAGAGAAGAAAGAAAACACAACGTTTCGGCGGTGGAGCCTTCTTCCCCGAAACGTTGCGTTTTCTTTCTTCTCTTTTCAGCATGGAATAAACCTATTGTACCTTTGCAGCCTACGCATGCTGACGCAGCTACCCACCTGACCTAATCATTTTTATATAGTATACCAAATCGTCAATTCATTATGTTTTACATTTCTCTTCTCACATTTTTCCAAGGAGATATGCCAATGTGCATACTGTAAATAATTATACTGAGTGGAAAAGGGACAAAAATTCCGGGTCGTTTCGAAAATAATGACAAAACACAACAGAATGAATTTCAAGGAACGCGATTTCAGGAGCTTCCGGTTGCAGCCGGCTGCGCGGCTGCTCTGCGAGCCTGTGACGTCACACAGCCCGCAGGCCAGGGCAGCTGTCCTGCGCGACAGCTAGAGCGCAGCCGGGGTGCCTCCTGATAGATCTGTGCGTGATGGAGAGACAGACGGGGTACCGCGGGGGTTCAGTTCAGTCGTCTCCTTAACCCCGAGGTTTAATGGTCGGCGATGGCGGATTTGCAAGGCAGGCTCCGGGTTTAAAACCGAAGAATCTTCCCCCCTCCCCCCGCGATAACCGAGTGAGGAATCTTATCTGTTCTGGTGAGGAAGTGGATTCATTCTTATACACATTTTTAAACTCAGCTGTTCTGCTGTTACATCCCGCTCTCCCTTCAGGTCCGACCATGCCAGAAAAGAAACGATTTTGCTTCCTCCGGCCGAGTTCACGCTTAGTTCTCATTAAAATATTTACGTGCGTTTCCTTTCCTTTACTTTCCGTCAGATTCCAGCGGGCTCGCTGCCGGACTGTCGGCTCTGGGCTTGGCGTGGCCGTGGATCTTGCGTGGTTGTTGTTGCTGATGGTTTGACAGGCGAATGCTGTGACGTCGGTAGAGCTCCCCTCGGGGCTCCGCCGCGATTTTCTATTGATGAAGAAAATGCAGCTCAGACAAGACAGTGGATTTCGTGTGCTGAAATCCACTGTGGAAAAGGTGTGTGGGTGTGCGTGCGTGACCTTGTTTCTGGCAACATGTGTACCAAGTTTACAACTGCACCAGTGAAATCAGGGTGAAGGATGGAGAGGCATGATGAACGACGTTAACTCTGACGGAGAACCACAGCAAAGCCCAGAGAACGCACGGTGCAAGCACAGGTTCATAATGGATACGCGAAAGTACAGGGAAAGAAGTGTGAGCGAATTCTTGGAGATGACCGGTGATACCGGCTGCGCGACTTTCTGCTCCTGGCATAATCCCTGGGGCGCCGTGTTGTTGCGAGAGAAGCAGTTGTCACCGCCGGAGCAGGAGCGCTGGTTTGCCGGAAGAGAGGATTTTATTCCCGGCGGTGGCGAAGACGCAGGTGTAGCGCGCTGCGAGCGGATGCAAGGCGTGATCTTTTCCTACCGGGATCGCTCCGTGTCCGTGGTTTTGTTCCGCAAAGCCCAGGACTGGGGGAGCAGTACCGGTGAAGGGGGAATTTACCGGGCTCTCCCTGTGTCCTGAGATCACTGATACTAACATGCGTTTCAGCCGTTACTCTCCGCTTTCCTAGTACCGGGAGGGGACACTGTTGTTTATGTGTCTGTCCTGGTGACTGAAGGCACGGGTGTCGGCAGCAGGGGTGTCAAACTTTATTCCTGCAAGAACTGCTGTCTTCTGCGTTTTCGTCCGATCCGCGGAGTCGGTTAAGCAGTTAACGTGATTATTCTCTTAATTAGACATATAATGGATTTTTTTCTCAAGGTCGTTTCCAGTCTATTTCTGAAAAAAGGCCTTGGAGAGATGTGTGAGCAATTATGCTGTTTATTAGATATGTAGACCAGCTGTGTAGCTGGGAGTTCAGGTGGAAGACACGGGCCCTCAGGAGCTAAGTCTCACACACCTGGGCTAAAGTGAATACCTTGTTCACACTCTCCCCCACTGTACTGGTGGATGGGTTTCCTTGCGGATGAGCTATAATGGAGCTCTCAGGGTGCTTTGGCCAACTTTTTATCTTCACTCATGCTCCACACATGGCCTTAGAAAATGTTTCTAGAAGAAGAAATTCGCCTCAATCACAGACTCGAGGTTATGAAGTTTTACCTTGGAGGGTCGGGTTTTGGGAGACAAAGACGAAGCTCAGATTTGGGATCGCCGTGCACCAGAAAGGTTTGTAATAGAGCTTGAAATCTCTTGTTGTGCTGTTTTGGATTAGTGGATCTTTTAAAACTTTGTTGGCCTGCCTCAAATCTTCAGGCATTTCTGTCGCGTCATGTCCCTTTATAAACCTTTCCAGGGTGATGGAGGCTCACTGAAATAGTGAGGCTCACTCTCTAGATACAAGACGTTGTGCGTCTGTCTAAAGTTTCGATTCAGGGCTGTCAGTCTGCCCTGGGTACAGTGCAATGTGTGTGTATTGAGTGTACCCTGATGCTTTAGGTGTTGTACAGTACAGCTCACGTATTGGGACTCTCTGTATAGGAACGGTGCAGCACAGTGTGCGTGTTGAACAATGGAGGCTCTGATCCCCTTCATCAACCGGCTGCAGGAAGTCTTCCTCACGGTCGGCGCAGAAGTCATCCAGCTCCCACAGATCGTAGTGGTGGGGTCACAGGTCAGTCATGGGTTCAAGGGTCAAAGGTCGACCCAGTGGAGCTCACAAATGAAATAGGCAATTATGCTGGTAATTTTTCAAGTTCTCATAATCGGTCATCGGATAACGTATCGTTTACTGTGTAAGTCTTCGTGTGTGCTCATCAATCCGTGTGTGTGTTTGATGTGTGTGCGCGGATGATTGACACTCTTCTCCTCCAATGACAGAGCAGTGGCAAGAGCTCCGTGCTGGAAAGCATAGTGGGGCGGGACTTCCTGCCCCGGGGGTCAGGGATCGTGACCCGGAGACCTTTGGTGTTGCAGCTGGTGAATGTCGCGCCGCCTGAGGAACGCAGACGGACCGGAAATGGTAACTACTGTTCGCTGATATCCTCACAGTACTATACACTGTAGTATATGTTCTAATATAGTGTAGTATGTGAGGGGTGTGTCCAGTGTGGAGGCGGAGCCCTGGACGAAGGGCGACGATTGCCTGACGAGTCACAGCCTTGGCCTAATGAAGAACAGCTGGGCAGGCAATATATAACCACACTGGACACCCCTCCGACAGGAGCAGGGCTCCAACACGGAAGGGGAGCTGCACCACACCAGCAGTGCCGGAGGGGCTTCACATACATTTTTGTACGTTTCCTTTTTGTTTTGTTTTCTTTCGGTTCTCGCTAACCTCACATCGGTGCCTCCGCCCCCTCACAGGGGGTGTTGCCAAGTTACTGGTGCTCGCCGCGCCTCCTACAGTACATACAGTACACTGCCTGTTTGAGCTTTTACACGTTCAGAAACAGGAAGTGAATTTTGCAGCAGGTCTGAAAACACCTCTTTACTGTATTCTTAACATTGCGGATCCAATGTAATGTGTGCTGCAGGTATACCCTCTGCAGTCTGAGGCCAGACGCTGAGCTAACACTGCTTGTAAGCAACAGCTTAATCACTGCTGTGATTTTCTTTCTGAGTTTTTACTCTTATTATGTTCTCTCATTCATAACCACTCTCTCTATCTCTCTCTCTCTGTTCACTGCTCATCCTCAGGAGACAAGACAAAGTCAGACTCAAAGACCAGCTACCCAGGTCTCTCTGTCTTGTCTATCTGCATGGACAGCTCCTGGCCCTCAGTTTCCCCCACTCTCTGCATGGGTCTAAGGTGTTTGGCTGTTCTTCAGCTTTTGCCTGACTCTCTCACTGTGCTGTGTGCCTGCCTCCCTCTCACTGTGGGCTGCAAACAGTCTCTCAGAGTTTGAATGTCTTTCTCCTGCTTTCATTCACTTTCTCTGTCATTTCTCCCTCTCTCTCGAAGGCATCAAGGCTGAAGAGTGGGGAACATTCCTTCACTGTAAAAACAAGGTACTGACTAAGCCATAACTGCAGTCGGCTCTGCGGAGCGCTGGAAGACCCTTGTACTAGAGCAGCGATAGCTGTGAACACTCAGGCCGAACGATCAGACTGTCCTGCCTGTGAAGTAATCCACTCTGACCCCCTGTCTTCCTCAGATTTTTACAGATTTTGTGGAAATTCGCCAGGAGATTCAAAGTGAAACTGACCGCAGTACTGGAGCTAACAAGGTGAGTGCTGCCGCGAAGCATGATGGGAACCCAGTCACTTTGAGCTGATGGGATGTCTCTCACCTTAGCACAGTGGGGGTGAGAGAGGGAGAGGGGGTGATGAAGGAGAATGGACACACACTAAAACAACACAAACCATGGTTTTGCTAGGCCCTAAAAAGGCAACATATACTGACTGGGCGCCCGATCAGGGAGAGAAACAACAAGGGGAAATAGACCCTAATGAGTTACAGACAGGGACGAGAGCCTGGCCATAGAAACTGGACACAGGCAGACCTGGATACCCAGAGAGGACAGGCTCAGTGACCACAGCCTGGTCATAGGAACTGGACACAGGCAGACCTGGACACCCAGAGAGGAAAGGCTGCGTACCTACTGGCAATAGTGACAGAGATGCACTTCTTGCTGGACTGCAAGAAATACTCAGATGGATATTCTTCCCCAAAATAACAAATCAAAACCAAGAATTCACACAAGTGTCAGAATCAGAATAGCCCTCAGTCCTTCAGGGGGAGGGGGAGGAAACTCGGTAGAGCCCAAACCTAGGAGAACATGTGATCTCCTGTTACTGCCCGGGGAACAAGGATGGAGCCTGCCTCTAAAACAATAATTATATGTTATTTTAAATGTCTATAAATATTTGACTAATTGCTATTGCTTTGGCAGTACTGGAATGCTTCAGTTATGCTAGTGAAGTTCTTTCAGTCTCTCTCCCTTCCCTTGCATGCACAGTGTGTTATTGTGGTGCTGCAGTGCTCACTCACTCAGTGTTACTGTACTCCAGGGGTCAGCTAGTGTGCGTATTGTACCCTGAATCAGAGCAAATTCAATCTAGCGTTCAGTCTGCCAGGCTGAGGTGTTAACCCCACCATTTCCCTCTCACAGGGTATCAGTCCTGAGCCCATTCACTTGAAGATTTTCTCTCCTCACGTTCTCAACCTCACGCTGGTCGACCTGCCGGGAATCACCAAGGTAACCAGAGTGACAGAGCTGGGGTGTGTGTGCTGTGGCTGGTTAGATGGGAATGCTGTCAGCTTCTGTGTCTCATGGTGGTGATGGAGGAGATGGGGGGTTATGGAGGGTGATGGGGATGATGGGGGTGACGGTGATGGTGAAGAGGATGATGAGATGATGACAATGATTATAATGGTAGTAATGATGAAGGTGATCAAGATGGTGGTCATAATGAGGGTGATGATTGCGATGGCCTTGATGATGAAGGTGACAGTGATGATAGTGATACATTGCAGCCAGTTGGTTGACATCTGTTACCGTTTCTTAACAGCTGCAGTTGTAGTAGTAACAATGCACAATAGTGGATTATTCTGGCAGTGGTCCAAGACTTGCGCGTTGTTATTATTTTCCTGGGGTCCTGTGTTCCCAGGTGCCCGTGGGGGACCAGCCAGATGACATCGAGCAGCAGGTGCGGGAGATGATCCTGAGCTACATCTCCAACCCCAACTCGCTGATCCTGTCCGTCACGGCCGCCAACACTGACCTCGCCACCTCCGAGGCCCTCAAACTGGCGCGAGAGGTCGACCCCGAGGGTGAGACCAGCTGTCCTCTCGCCCTGCCTGCCAAAGTCACCTTTCTGCGACCTTGAAATGCAGCCAGCCTTCTTTTCGGTGTTATCCGGTTTGATTTCGGAAGCCAGAAATTGTACTGCCTGAGGTCGGGTGTGGCTGCAGGCCTGGACACAGCCCTGTTTGAGACTCTGCGAGTCCAGGCCTCCAGCTGAGGGGATGGGCTGTCGTAAGACGCTGGGCAGATCCTTACATCACTGCTGAAGAGGGTGTCACACTGCTCTCATTTTTTTCAGTGAAAGTACTGCTTCAGTGTAAATACTACAACTACTAATAATAATAATTGCTTACACTTATATAGCACTTTTCTGGACACTCCACTCAAAGCGCTTTACAGGTAATGGGGACTCCTCTCCACCACCACCAATGTGCAGCATCCACCTGGATGATGCACCAGTCTGCTCACCACACACCAGCTATCAGGAGAACCGAGTGATGAAGGCAGTTCAGAGATGGGGATTATTAAGAGGCCATGATTGGTAAAGGCCAATGGGAAATTTGGCCAGGATGCCGGGGTTACAACCCTAGTCTTTTCGAGAAACACCCTGGGATTTTTAATGACGATGAAGAGTCAGGACCTTGGTTTTACGTCTCACCCAAAGGACGGTGCCTTTTTACAGTATAGTGTCCCCGTCACTATACTGGGGCATTAGGACCCACACAGACTGCAGGGTGGGTGCCCCCTACTGGCCCCACTAACACCTCCTCCAGCAGCAACCTTAGCTTTCCCAGCAGGTCTCCCATCCAGGTACTGACCAGGCTCACACCTGTTGATTTTCAGTGGGCTGCCAGTTGTGAGTTGCAGGGTGATATGGCTGCTGGCCATCTTTTTTTACATAAGCAGTCCAGCTCACATCCACAATAATCCTTCCATTAGGTTGCAATCAGTGAAAGGTTTATGAATCCTTGACATGTTTTGGCTTTGTTGGTGTTGTGTGCTTGTGTTGATCTGTGCCTGCGAACCCCCTCTCTGTGTCAGGACGTCGGACACTGGCTGTGGTCACCAAGCTGGACCTTATGGACGCTGGCACAGACGCCATGGATGTGCTGATGGGAAGAGTCATCCCTGTCAAACTGGGCATCATAGGGGTCGTCAACAGGTCAGCAAGGTCAAGGGTTGAGCTCTGCATAGAGCTTCTTCTTCGAATAACCAGCTTCTTTGATTCAATCTCTGACTCACAAAGAGATATTATAGCAGGTAGAATATTCACAGAAGTATTGTACCAGGCTTATGCAGTGTGCAGAACAAAGCACACACAGCACAGAGTGCAGACACTCTGTTGCAGGCCTTTTGGAATTTATCCCTGCAATTTCTTTTAAAGAAAAAAATAAACCTAAAAAACAATAATTCTGGATGAAACACACGGCAGTAAAATGCATCATGTTTTTGTTTTCTGGGTTAAGCGCTCAGCTCAGGAGAGCAAGTGGAGGGAGAGTAAAGCCAACGAGCTCTGAAATTGCCCCACTGGGGATGGATAAAGTGTTTTGAATCAAATTGAATCATTCTGTTTTTGCTTTCTGGCCCAGTGTCTGGACACCAGCAATGCCCTCATGTATCAGTCATGCAGTAGATCAAACAGCGCTCTATGGGGAGCACATTTCTCTTAGAACCATGTGATAATGGCCTATCTGAGTGTTATTTCTTAGGGTTTGCCACTTCTCCAGGACCCTGGTGTCATAAGACATATGAGTTGTGGCATCTTGGGGTGCTGGTCAATTAGCTTAGTTAACTCCGAGAATCCTGCAGTTATCAGTTATTGTGTGGCCCACTGGAAATGGAGTTCTAGCCCCTCCTTGGACTACAGAAATGAAAGGGAAAGGGAAGGAAAAGTTACTGGGGGGGATAATGTCATTATAGTCAGACCGGCCCGTTAAACCCAGTGTGGGCAGTGTGCTGCAGAGGCTGATCGTGTTGACCGATTGACGCCCCTCCTCCCCAGGAGTCAGCACGACATCAACACCCAGAAGAGCCTGGCTCAGGCCCTCCAGGACGAGCAGGACTTCCTCAAGCGGCACTACCCCTCCCTGGCCTCCCGCAGCGGCGCGCGGTACCTGGCCCGCACGCTCAACCGCCTGCTCATGCACCACATCCGCGACTGCCTGCCCGAGCTGAAGACGCGTGTGACGGTGCTGAGTGCGCAGTACCAGGGGCTGCTGAGCAGCTACGGCCAGCCCGTCGAAGACCACAGCGCCACCCTGCTGCAGATCGTCACCAAGTTCGCCAGCGAGTACTGCAACACCATCGAGGGCACGGCGCGGCACATCACCACCTCTGAGCTGTGAGTCGCTGATGCGCTCGCACTGTGGCGCTGCTTTGATGCATACCCGCCTGGTTCAAGGCTTGGCTTTCTAGTATGGCCCCTGCGCAAGGATGACATGCAAATTCGTGACACACATGGGATGGCTCCTTTGCCCCGCCCACTTTGGTCATGTGACACATTGCAGGCTCCCCATTGGCTAACAGGAGGGTTGCGCCACTTTACACCCCGACTTCACTGCAGGCGCCCTGCATGTCTCGGGGGGGGGTCACTGATTGTCGGTAGGCTGAGTGGACACACTCTCACTCCAGTGGCACCAGCTGTGCCCCTCAAGCAGATAGTGGGTTTTTACCCAGAGTGCAATCTGCGCTCCAAGCACGTGCCTCTACAGATTGAGCCAAACACAGGCCTAGTAGTGCCGTAACACCCAGACGGACTGCCTCGCGCAGAGTGAGGAAGTCAGACAAGCAGAGACGTATGCATGCTACTACCCACAAATGCACCCTGGGACTCATTCCCCTCTCCCTTTATAAGTCTTTTTCTTTCACTCTTGATCTGTCTCTCAGCTGTGGAGGAGCCAGGATCTGCTACATTTTCCATGAGACGTTTGGCCGAACGCTCAAGTCCATCGACCCGCTGAGCGGCCTGACCACTCTGGACATCCTGACCGCCATCCGCAATGCCACGGTAATGCTCAGTGCCACAGCAGCCCTGCAAACCTGGGATACGTCTATGCCAGCCGCCCACAGCAGTCTGTGTGCCCATATGGGTTCTGTGCCATGGACCAAGCCAGATCCGGGCTTTGTAGGCAATTCTGTAGAATATTCCATTATTTTTCTAATTGTTTTCTACATATGTGTCTCAACAATACTTTTAGGTTCATACCATTACTAGTACTGTTCTGTACAGTACCACATGTTTAGAATTAAAAAGGGTTTAGCCTTGACTCATTTAATTATGCAATCTTTAAATAACAACCAAATCTGTTTTTTATCATAGGGGAATTGTTGTCTCAGAATTCCATGCCCACCCTTGCTTATTTCATTTTTGGGTGTCTTTGTTGTCCACGTTCTAAGATGATGGTTAATACTGTGGGTAATAAATCTGCAGTATGTGACTGTAGATTGAGGCTGTGATGTATAGTGTGACATTTTCAGGGGTTGCTGAGTCACAACCAACCGGGACGCCAACCTTGTACTTCCTGAGAAAAGCCAGTAAAGAATTTTGGCCTCAAGTCGTTCACAAAACAGTGTCCGAAAAACACCCTCAAGTTCCCACGTTTAGGAAGAATAATATTTGCCACACCCTTTTAAAGCCATCAAGCAGGCAGCTCATCCCTCACAGCTGAGACTGTTTAGATGGGAAATGAGCAGGCCATTTCCCCCAAGGCATCTTGGGATGTGTAGTTTCCACCTCCCCTGCGCAGAGGAAACTACCAATTTTTAAAGAGGCAGGGTCAAAGAGGGTAATGGCCTCTCAAAATTCTAGGCCCAAAGTACACTCCCTCTATGACCCTGCCCCACATTTTGTCACAACTGGCTCAGTTTGGCCATCTGATGTTGGCCCAGGGGTGATACACTGGCACAGTAGGTGGCACTGCAGATCTAAATCCACATGGGAGGGTGAGGAAGGACATCAAGTCTGCAGAATATGGGAGGTGTTGCCAACCGAGAGCGTAAACAGGTGATGAAGAGAAACATGCTGAGGGCCTGTTTGTAACTGCGATGACGTGCACTTTCAGCGGCCCAGGTGTGGCGTCTTGACCCCGGTGTGTGCGTGTGTGTGCGCAGGGCCCGCGGCCGGCGCTCTTCGTGCCCGAGGTGTCCTTCGAGCTGCTGGTGAAGAGGCAGATCAAGCGGCTGGAGGAGCCCAGCCTGCGCTGCGTGGAGCTGGTGCACGAGGAGCTGCAGAAGATGATCCAGCACTGCTCCTCCTACAGCACCCAGGTACCAGGGCGGGACGGGCAGCGGGCCGCCGGGACACCACACCTCCGCCTGCGGTGTCTAAACCCTACCCCAGGCACAGCAGCGCACTCGGGTCCTGGAGACCCGCACACCTGCCTGTGTTGTCCCAGCTGAGCTCTCGGAGAGCGGGGTTTTGAGCAGGGAGCTGCGTCAGCAGGCGTAGGCTGCAAAGGAACAAGGAAAAGTTCATTCCACACTGAAAGGGAAAGTAAGGAACCAGGTTTGGACGCTCATTCTCACCTGCTTTATGTCCATTTCCCCACTGCTCCCTGCTGCTTCTTACCTCTCCTTTGCCTTATTTATCTGCCACTCTTCCTCTCTCCCTCAGACCTGAGGAAGGCTCCAGAGCCCAAACGTTGTGTTTCTTTTCTCTGCCTTTCAGGATGGAATGAACCTTCACCTGTTCCTGAGCTCTCAGATGGGTACCTGAACCCTTAATTGAATGATAAAACCCTTAAACCCCCTTAACAATCTGATGAATTTGACTTCTCTCATTGTTTCCAGCTCTTAGACATTTGGGAGGCTTGCTTATAAAGTGTTGTATTTTAGAAGCAACTTCAAATCTCCAACATGTGAGTGGATGAAACTTTTGAAACGTTTATCAGTTCATTTAAGGGTTCAGTTCCGTAACTGAGAGACTGGAGCAGAACTGGAAAGTCGCAGATGTAAAGGAGAACCTACTGTCAGTGGAGAAGTTGTAAACGAGAAGATGCCATTCTGACGTTCTTGTGTTAGTGTTCTACATAAGCCAGCGAAAAAGAAAACAAGAAAATGATACAATAAGAGCTGTGGAAGCCTATTGGCGCTACAGACCAAAAATATTTCTTGTGTTTAAACAAGTTACCTTTTGCTTTTTGAGTGCACTACAAATCTCATACATTTCAATAAACAACAAAAAGTTACAATCAGGTTCCGCACTAAACTCATTAAAAAGTGAACATGAAGCCCTTCCCAGATTGCAGCCGGAGCTGGAACTCCAGCAGGAGTGGAGAACGACGCGAACGCCAGGCAGTGGGCCGACAGTGTCTGTCCATCTGACTGACCGACTGACCGACTGACCGACTGTCTGTCTGTCTGTCAGGAGCTGCTGCGCTTCCCCAAGCTGCACGACTCCATAGCGGAGGTGGTGACCAAGCTGCTGAGGAAGAGGCTGCCGATCACCAACGAGATGGTGAGAACCATCAGCCGCTCGCCCTCTCGCCCTCGTGGAAACACCTGCGGTCAGCGCCAACACCAGTTCTTTACTGGCAGGCTTTACAGAGTCCCCCCAGAGTCACCAGGGCTGTCAGACCCACCCTTTCTCCTGGACTTCATTCCAGCCCTCTTACTGCACTAACGCACTGGTCTAACTACTCCCTTGAGTTGCGTAACGTCTCATTGATCATTTGAATAAACAATTTTGTGGGACTTGAAAGAATATTTTGTATGACCAGTTGAATCAATCATTTTTGATCATGATAAGCCAATATTGGAAACCGGAAGGCACTGATTTCCTGGAAGGCTCAACAAGAACCGAGTCTGGGTGCTCACACATTGACCAGGTAGCGTACGGTGCTTTGATCAGAATGAGTGACCTTGTACTTTTTCAGGTGCATCATCTGGTGGCAATTGAACTGGCCTACATTAACACCAAGCACCCCGACTTCATGGATGCTGCCCAAGTCTCTGCCGCTGTCAACAGTGCTCAGGTACCCCATGCACATAAGTACTCCGATATACCCTTGTACAGTTACTACAGTATTCTCCTGTACATAGTTAGATCAATTCCCCCCTTTCTGCAAAATGTTACTCCATTATCTCTCTGTACATGGGCACCCCACTACTCCCCTGCACATGGATCCCCAGTATCCCCCCATACACACGAGAGGTTTCCTGTGTTAAAGGGGACCTGCAACACTATTTTTATATTTCTGGGTTAGAAAGAATCAGCATTGATGAGTGTATTTCAAACTGCAATAAAAATGTTCATGTTGGAACATTTCTGCAGTGAAATGTCTTCTGCACAACCTGTATATGTTGGGTCATACATCACATTACATTAGTCAGTACAGTGACTAGTGAGCAGGAAGGGTCACTTCACATCACAAACCCTGGGAATTCTACTGTGAGTTTGCAACAACAAGGCTTCTTACAGTAGTTTCACAAAGTTCACGCTTTTGTGCTTAATTTGAAATGTGTAAAATCTTGTTAACCGGTCTGAGAAACTGGGACTTCAGCTCCCCTTGAACGCCATGAGCCCCTCCTGCTCCTCGCCGAGCCTTACCCCCACCCCGCTGTGTCTCCCCCTGAGGCGGAGGCGGTGCAGGACAGCGGCCGGCGCTGGAAGAGCGACAGGGCTGCCGAGGAGAAGGCAAGCGAGGAGAAGACGGCCTTCAGCAGTCCCTCCCGGGGCCCGGCGGTCAACCTCCTGGACGCGGTATGAGCCCCAGGCAGGGTCGGGGGTCAGAGGTCAGAGGTCAAGGGTCACGGGGAGGCAGAGCCGGGATTTAACCTCCGCTGCCAGGGCAGAGACTCGCAGGCAGCCCCTACTGGTGCGCTGATGAGAAAAAACTCAAACATGCTGCAGCATCTAAATATCTTTGAAAACGAGCATCGCTGCACAAAATTTCACATCCTGCTTCATAAGTGGTAATCTTATTTTAATAAGACAGTAATGCATAAGTCATCATCACATCTCATATGTGTAAGTACTCTATATCTTGATTATTGTGAAAAGGCAGGATAAGCTGCACACTGCGGCTTTGGTGACTCCTGCTGCCAGCCCAGCGCAGTTATTAATGTAGCGCCCCCTGTTTGTCAGCCAGTGCCGGTGTCTCGGAGGCTGACCCCGCGGGAGCAGCTTGATTGCGAGGTCATCCAGCAGCTCATCAAGTCCTACTTCCTCATCGTGCGCAAGAGGATTCAGGACAGGTCAGAGGTCATGGGGGCGTAGTTTCCGTGATGGAGGTGTGAGCGCAGTGTGTCTGTGTGCAATGATCTGGGGTCGTTGAATGATATCTGGGCGTCAGATTCTTCTGCCTGGTTGTTGCTGTTGTATTGGGAGGCTCCTGTGTCTGATAGTGAGCTGTCGGTGTAGTGACAGAAGGGTGTCAGTGAGTAATAATTGGGTGGAGGTGTTATATTGTGGGGTGCCAGTGTGTGATAACAACGAATCCATACATCAGGGGTGTCAGGGGGTAGCACTGAGAAGGGTGTCCTGATGTCTTTGTGAACTGTTGGGGTATCTGTGTCCTAGCGTGCCGAAGACAGTGATGCACTTCCTGGTGAACTTTGTGAAGGAGCACCTGCAGAGCGAGCTGGTGGGGCGGCTGTACCGATCCCCCCTGCTGCAGGAGCTGCTGACGGAGTCCGCTGACACAGCCCAGCAGAGGAAAGAGGCTGCCAGCATGCTGGAGGTCTGTGTGCGTCACTCTGCGTGCGGGTTTCACTGTGTGCATCACAGCCTCTGTCACTGCGTGTGTGTGTCACTCTCTGTGTGCATCGCTGCCCCTGTCACTGTGTGTGTACTGTACAGTATGTATCACTCTCAGTGTGCATCACTGCCTCTGTCACTGTGCGTGTATCACTTTCTGTGTGCATCAATGTCTCTTTTATGAAGTATGAGTATATATCACTCTCTGTGTACAGCACTGCCTCTGTCACTGTGTGTGTACTGTATGTATAACTCTCAGTGTGCATCGCTGTCTCTGTCATGACATATGAGTATATATCACTCCCTGTGTGCATCACTCTGTCCCTGAGAGCTTCAACTAATCTGTCGTCTCTGTCTGTTTCCACACCCTAGGCGCTGCAGAAAGCCAGTAACATTATCTCAGAGACCAGAGAAACCCAGCTGTGGTAGAGTCAAGGAGCACACCTGTGGACCAGCCAGACCCCCACTGTCTCTGTGTGTGGTTGTTCTGCCAGCCTGTCGCTGTCTGTCATGTTGGTCATGTTGTGTGTGAGCCGGTGGATATGTGTGAGTGATCTTTCCCTTGCTCAGACCAGCAGACCTGTCCTACCTAGTCTCTCCCCTTTCAGAGGTGCTCTATCCAGCAAAGGTCAGGCTAGTTCTTGTCCTGTGACAGACTGATACCCCTTCTCATGTACGGTCTTTCCCAGTGTCAGCCTGATGCCTTGAGTCTGTCTGAATATATGGAAGGTTGTAAATTAGAAAAGACACTCAGCCCTTCTGGGGTGCCTGGTTGCTTGTGGCTTTAGGAATTGATTGAAGAGGCTTAGCAATCCATTTCTTGAGGAGTCCCGAGGAGTCAGCTTCTGGTACTTGGATGGTCAGTTTGTTCCAGACATCTACCACTTTCTGCTAAGCACTGCCTCTCATTCTCAGTTCTTAAGGCATCTGCACTTTAACTCCTTGGGTCCTGGGGCTCCTTCGGTAAAAGATCAGCACTTGTGGGAGTGCTGATTTTGTTTTGCAATTCATCCTTCATTTCACAGGAGTCCTTGGAATTGATGACTGAATCACAGCCTTGCTGCGATCTCTTATTTTCAGGACCTTTCATGCCATGTCCTGTCAAAGCCTGTCTTTAGAGCTGGAATCAATATGGCTGCTCTTCTGTGAACTCTTTCTTAAGCAGCAGTATCTTTTTAATCGCATGGTGATCAAAACCGATCACAGTAGGTCTTACTGTGCATCGAACATTTTTTTTATGTTGTACTCCTTTAGTGTGTATTTGGAGGAGCCAGTATAAGCAACTCTTGTAGTATGTATATTTGATCATGTTGGGGAGCCAGTATAAGCATGGAGAAAAACCCTGTTTGTGATATTGGTCAGCCTGTAGGCTCTGCTGAGATCCAAGCCCGCAGGGCTACCTTGTGTTTTATTGTCATTGAAGGGTAAAAGCTCATCCTCTTCCTTTGCTGTCTCACGATCAGCTGTGCGGACTGCATGAGTCACACGGCCGTATGGAGCAGATCTCCTGGCTCACGGAGAGTGTGACGTGCCAGTTCCTCCACACTGTGTCCAGGAGTGCGGAAGAGAGTGAGGACAGCAAATCTATCTTGCGTGCGTTTGTCATATTAGGATGAATATTGCGGTTCGAGTTTCACCGTTTCCCTTCATAAGCGCATAAGAAACATTAGAAACAAGAGGAAGTTGGTCAGCACATTGGAGCTGAGGATCACATCCTGCCATTCCTTGAATGAAGCCAGGGTCTCGGCTTCAACATCACAGCTGCTTGTTCCAGACCTCCGCATCTCTTTGTGTAAAGGGCCACCTCCTGTTTGCGATTTTAAGTGCACTTCCAATGTATACACAGAGTTCTGTGTATGGAAACATTCTGTGCTGTGAAGTGCCCTGACAGTTCTCCTTCACTTTACTTCTGAAACAGATTAGCCTCAGAAACTAAACATTCTGAGGTCACCCCATAATGCATAGCCCTTCAGACAAGAGCACAGTCATGTGTCGGTGTCCTCATTTGTGGTTCTGTGTGTGGGGGAATGTGAATGTTGAATGAAATTAAGTTAACTGCTTGAAGGTGCTTGTCTACTGTGATTCTACTTGGTGTAGAATAAAAGTCTTGTGATACACTTGCCTGGGATTCTTGTGCATTACTTCAGTGTCTCCTGCATTTACTCAGAGTACTTCTGCTGTTTGCAGGCTGTACTCAGACTCATATGAGTACGGTCATAATCAGGAATTTCAGAAATTGTTTTTTTCACTTTGTTTTCACTGCTCTAAATCTTAGTTAGGTGGTTATAACCTGTACTGTTCCTGTGATCACAGCACTGGGCCCCTGTTAAATTAATACAGGGTTTTAACATACGGCTTAAAACGCATTTTTAAATAGTGCATTTCGTATTTAGCAGAGCGTCTTGGTTTTCTTGTTTCTCGGAAGAGCGGTAACGGGGGACTCTAGTGGCTTCGCTGCAAAGGTGGAGGTTATCGCCAGGGGGCGACAAAGCAGATAAACTGGCCATTTAAAAAATCTTACCCTCTCTTGCCAAGAAGAAAAATCACAACAAGATTTACAGGAAGCGGAGTGCAGTTTTTTTTTTATAGAAGGCAGTTTTCATACGTATGTGTGAAAGTAAGTTGACGATGTGTGAGTACGGAACTCGCATGCGAGTGTAATTACACCTGTGCGTTGTCAGGCAGAGCTGTCCTTAAATCAACTCACGGTGTAGGGGAAGCGTAAGGTCAGTTTAATGCACATGTAGTGGTTTCGCTTAGGGGTTAGACTCCCATCTAATCGCTGATGCCTGTCAGCTGGGTTTTTAATTCCCCGCTCTTGTTTGTTGCAAACTGGGCAGAGCGCACACATGAATAGGAAGCGAGCTGCAGAGCCCGTCAGCGGCCGTCCTGCTGGTGGAGAAAGACTTAAAGCGCGCTGCCCCACTGCCGAATGGGGGGCGGCGTTGCTGGAAGGCACCTCAGGATCTGAGAGGGCAGTGCACCTCGAGCTGGCCTGCGCCGTTGAGCGGGCGGTGAAGGCGGCGGTGGAGCTGGCCATGGCGAGGGTGACCAGGCTGGTGGAGAGGCGCTGCGCCGGCCTGCGGCTGCGCATCGAGGACCGCGAGAGGGAGCTGGAGAGCGTGCGGCTGAGGCTGGATCTGGCGGAGAGCGAGCTGAGGGTCCTGCGCGAGCGCGTCGGCGGCGGCGAGCGCGAGCCCTGGCACGCAGCCCCGCAGTCGGAGAGCCGCGGCCGGGCGCAGCGGAGGCTGGAGGCCGGGGATCCGGCGGGTCGCGGGGAGTTTCTCCCGGTGAACAAGAAGGAGGGCGACCTCGTTAACACCGTCGCAGCCCCCTCCTCATTCCCAGGTGTTACCGGAACACTGTCCGCCAAACAGGAATTGTATAATCCTCCCGACTGCGAGGCCAGCGGGGAAGAACGAGCTACTGACCAGCGGCAGGGACCAACAGTGAAACGTAAGTTACTATTTACAATTCGCTTTAATTTGTCCTTCGTCTCCACGTTTTTGTAGCAGTAAGGGGTAATCTTGCATAGCTGTTGCAGTTTTTGATAAACGTGCGTCAAATTGTATCTATTAGTTGTGTTTTACTACTAAATTGCTCTGTGACCGCTTTTACAGTTGAATGTATCAACGAAGATGTTTAAAGGCATCTATAATATTACCCTATACAATTTGTATCGTCAGATGTCAAGTTATTTTCAAGGGATTTTTTCCGTACAAAATGTATGAACTGCTCGTTCTCAACACAAGAAGACCATATAACCTCTACAAGATGAACCTGACCACTGATTACTGTGGGTTGGAGGGGAGTTACAGTTTTTCTTCAAGATCATTGTAGCATGATCCCAAGTAAAATCCGTGGTTCTGAAATTAGAGTGCACAGGTACTGTTAGTACTGATGCAATTGCAGAACTATATCATTGTACCATTATCATCACAGTGCTACCCCCTGTCTTCTACATAACTCCTATTTTTCATCATTTGATATGCACAAGAACAGTTACTAACTCTGTATGTGGGCTGATTTCCATTATGAGTGATTTATGATAATAATAATCTGGACATTCCTGTAGGTAGTAAGCTGGTCAAGTTTACAGAGCATGCCAAATGAGGAGGAGCAGCTAACAGTGTAGAAGTGACCAAGGAAATTTAAAAAATGGGACAAACACCTGGCAGATGAGAATGAAGATCTGACCCTTTGAAGTGCAGAGTTTTACATGCAAGTATCAGAAAAGTAAACTCAACATAAGAAGACAGATCTTGAAGAAGCTGCCTATGAAAGTCTGAGGTGGCTATGATGAGACAGCCCATGAACAAGTGTGGTCCAAAGATCCGAACAAGTCTTCACTGGCTGCCATCTCTCCCATTTTCTAACTGCTGCATCCGATTCAGGGTCATGGGGGAGCAGGAGCCTATCCTGGCCAGCAGCAGGCACAAGGCGGGGTACAGCTTGGACAGGAGCACACGCACACACCCACACCCACACCAGAAGCCAATTAACCTACCAGTACGCCTTTCAATTGTGGGAGGAAACCAGAGCACCCAGAGGAAACGCACAAGAACACGGGGAGATCATACAAACTCCATGCAGATACCACCCAGGGAAGTGCACCTAGCGCTGCCAGTCAGCAATGCTAACGACTGCGGCACAGTACCGCTCCACTGGCTGGCTCACAGATTTGAAACCCATCTTTTAATAACGGGAGAGACCGTGTTGCGTATTTAGCAGGCAATCGGAATTCAATTTCAGTGTAGAAATCATGCATCAGCAAGTTGCTGTGTAGAGCAATGAGGAATCGGACGTAAGATGAGAAGACAGGGGGGCTAGTGTGTCAGGCCTATGTATAAGATTAATAAAGTCTCTGTGATCAACCAGCACTGTGGCAATAGGTCAAAGATAAAAGGCGGCAAAAATAAAATGGTTGCTGATATTCTTCAGGCCAAACCAAGAAACAGGCTGTTCTTTTTGTCCCTCCCCTGCGCAGGTGCTGATAGGACATCGCCTCGGATCGACACTCCTGAGGCTCATGGTCGCTGCATAGCTGGGGAACAGGGGTGCCCTGCGCCTTGTCAGGCCCTGCAGCCTTTCGGAAGCAGCCAAGACACCTCTGAGAGACTCTCGGGCGCTGACTGCAGGCCCCTCAAGCAGGAGGTGTCTGAGCTGGGCTATGGGGACGTGGTTCAAGAGTCCAGATGGCCACCGAGCCCTCTCGGAGCAGAGGGCAGTGAACCGGGACCAGGCCAGGCAGCTGGGCCGTACTCCAGCAATGCCCAGACTGGGAGGGGTAAAATCGAAGGGAATCCCAGGTCCTCTAGGGGCAGTATATCACGTAAGTACCAGTTACGGTTTTGTCATTTTTGTTGGCCGTGCATCAAGGTTGTGCTGATTGGGTTCCTCCAGAGCAGCTCAGCCTTTGAAGGTGCTGGACTGAGCACAGGTTGAGCTCCATGACCACGGGTTCGAGAGGGAGTCGTGGCACTAGGTGATTGGGATACCTGTCAAAGGAAGGACAGGATTGGTCTGTCAGGATTCCCTCTGTTCTCCGCAACACAGCGCCCCCTGTGAGCTCCCAGGCAATTGCAGCCTTGTGGTGCTGTCAGTGAGGGACCCACCCTCTCCTTCAGTCTGCGCTGATCAGCACACCTCCGAAGTGCGTTACTGCAGTTTCACACCTTTGTACTGTGTGTGTGGCCGTTTCCTGATAAAAGGTGTCTCCCTGCCCTGTTTGCACCTTGTGTTTCACTCGGAGAGATGGTGGAGCAGGAAGCAGAATATATTCCCCCTTCTTGTCTATGGCAGACATGTTCTGTCTCATGAAAGCTGACCTTTCCTTTCCAGCCTGTTGTTTTGCTTGCTGTTTCGAGGGGAAAGCTGGTGAAATAAGGGAATCTCACGTGGAGCGAACTGTTTACAGCACAAGACGCATGGATCCTCTTCCTTCCACCCACTCCTCCCCCCAGGAAAGCACATGGTGACGCTGTTCCTTCTCTCTCTCTCTGGAAGGACTCCATCAGCTGCGGATGGAGTGAGGGGGGGTGGGACTGGAGAAAGCACGGCAGGGTACAGGAGCCGTGAGGTGACGGAGACACTGAGCGATTCCAACTTGAGCTCGGTCCACGGCGGGCCGGGCCAAGTCTGATTACGTGCCTGCCTGTGGTTCCAGTCCGTCTGAATTCCCTGTCTAGCTCGGCGCTGGAGCTGGTGGAAAGCCTCTTGAAGCATCCCTGCATTTCACAGCCCAGAGAACGCGCTCCCGGCCTGTCAGAGCACCTGGACCAGCCTGTGAAGTGCTCACGCTGCCTCTGGATTAAGTGAGGTAAGGCCTTTAGCAGCAATATAGGAAAATACTGTAATGCTGCTACCTTAGTCCTTTCAGCCAAGCACAGTACAGACCACCAGCACAAAGATCTTAGTTCTACAGGATTAAGTGCCTGTCCTGCATGTCAGATGCGTGTGTGTAATGATCAAAGGGATTAGGATCATAGCCGAGACTTGAAAAACAAATTTTACAAAATGACCTTGAAAGGGGCTTTTCTGAGAGGAGAGAGAGTTACATATCTGCTCATTGTTTTGTTCAATTTTGCCGGTTATTTGCAAATCTTGACCTTCTGACCTGTACGAATAACAGTGATGATTCCAGTTAGAAGACTGAAACTTGCTTTTTCATTGCCCCAGAACTGCTTCATGCCAAGACAGAGCAGCGCGGGATGTCAGAGCCGTGGCAGGGGGAGTACCGCGAAGTGCTCCAGAGCAAGACGGACAACAGCTGGTGAGACCTGAGGAAGCTCCTCGTCAGCTGTCTCAAGTGGGGTGCCCCCAGGCCCGCCTCCAGAGGCCCTGTTTCTCGCCCCACTCGGGCTCCTGCAGACCCTGGAGAGGAGCCCTCTGCACATTCTCTTTGACATTCCTCTGTGTGGCTAAACGGGAGAGGATCCGGAAGTGAGAATGTGTTTAGGACAGGACCTAGGAACTTTTCCTGATATCTTTGAATCCTTGAAGAAACAGCAGGACTTTCACTGCTGTGTACAAGGAAGCAGCATTAAATTATGCAACGTATCAGTCGGACTTCACTTGGAATTTCCTGTGCAGGTTGGTCCTCTTAAGTTACAAATAAAAAATCGGGACGCTGTTGCTCTGGAATGAAATCAAAGATGATTACAACACTTCTGGCCCTGAAGCAACACCACGTCCAAACAAGAAGAGAGGATTTGACGCAGATATTCATAATCCTGAAAGGAACCAACAAAATTAACCCAACAAACTATATCAAGCTCAGCACAGAAGAAAGGTTAAAAATCTTTGCCGTTTTTGAAGATAAGTGGGAAGTAGGAACAGGCAAATATAGGAGGGAAAGTGGGGAAACGTTGTGTATAAAGCAAACTACTATGAACTGAAAATGCCAACCTGGTTTTAACAGAGCAGTTCCATCAGCCTCTCCTGGTGCACCTCCCGTGTCTTCTAGCTTTGAAGGTGATGAGGAAGTTCCACTGCACCAGTGTGAACTAAAAGCTGTGTTCATGCTTTGTGTACAACACTGGAAGGCATTTATCTCTAGGCATAACTGAAAGCACTGCTGACTCAGTCAAACTATAACTTTTTTACAGTCATGGTACTCAAACCCAAAAGCACTGATCAGTGCTGTAGCCCTTTTAAAATGTTCATAGTTGTTGGAATGCTATTTTACCATTTTATTTAGCTTTCTAATCCTCTAGATTGTGTCTCATTTTTCTTAACAGCATTGGACAGAATGTTGTTTTCTGTGACTGCTGGAAACCTCTGTCCTTTTGTGTTGTAATAACAGGAAAAGGCAGGTGTGACGTGTAACAACAACCTACAAGTGCTCCTGTGCTTCACTGTGAAACCACAGCTCAGCCACCAGCGCTCTCCAATAGAGATGGCCAAGAGGCAGTCTAGGAATGGTTGCTTGACCGATGAACTGCCTTTATTTATGGGTTAATTGGTTGTTTCGGCTCTAATTGCCACATAACTTGGGCTCGAGTCTTCTTCAGTAACGTTTCTCTTTCTGTTTCCTGTTCTTCTGGGGCTGAAGAAGACGCCGCACAACGGAAGACGCCGCGACACCTGGCGCCCCCCGACTCTCCGCCCGGGGGCCGGCGGCTCCCTCTCCCTCCCCCGGCTGCCGAGGGGGGCGGGCCGAGGAGGCGGGGCCCGTTCGCCTGCGCGCTGTGCGGGCGGGCGTTCCACGCCCTGCAGAGCCTGCAGTCCCACCAGCGCACCCACACGGGCGAGAGGCCCTTCCCCTGCGCCACCTGCGGCAAGAGCTTCGCGCAGAAGCAGAACCTGATCCGGCACCGCAGCGTGCACACGGGCCTGGCCCCGCACGCCTGCGGCCTGTGCGGCAAGAGGTTCAGCCAGCTGGGCAACCTCCGCATCCACTACCTCATCCACACCGGGGAGCGGCCCCACGCCTGCCCGCAGTGCGGCCGGCGCTTCAACCAGGCCCAGAACCTCAAGCGGCACCTCCGGGTGCACGCCAAGCGCCTCTGACGCCGCGCCGGGCGGGGAGCTCGGGGCGAGGCCCCGGGCGGAGGCCCTTGACTTGAATTCTCACCGCGGTCAAGCAGTGCTGGCACCCCGAGAGGCCTCGTTCCCAAGAGCCAGCCCGTCGCTCCTCCTGTGTGATTGGAGACGGCGGGGCTCACTGATTCGAGGCCCTGTTCAAGTTGTTTTTTTCAAACGTGGCCCTTGTTGCCCTTTGGGGTTTTCACAATCTTTTATTCGTATAGTCTCTTTCGCCTGATACCCACTCGTTCTGGAGTGGGCAGCTGTCTTCAGGGCCCAGCGGAGACTCCTGCCTGAGGAGAAGGAAATAAAGAAGGGCGACAGGCTGGCTCATGGAGCCCGTCTCCTTTAGTCACGCCGTGTGCTCTGATCGGAGGGGCAGCTTGTCTCGCGCCAGTGTCCCCACCCACAGTCGCGTCTTCCACCTGTCCTCGTCACACTCCGCCCTGGACGTGACCTGGGTTCGAACCCACGGCACCCGGATCACAGTGCAACTTACTATGTAAGCACCTTTTATTGATTGAGCCGCTCAGGAAAAATTTGATCTTTTTGTTTCTTAACAAAAAGAAGCATATTCCAGTTAAAGAAAACTGGGGGAAATGAATGACCTGCATCATTATCAGATAATGTCATTGTTATTACTGATTGGCGTGATTTTTTAGTGACAGTCATTTGTCATTCTTTTTTTAAAAAAAACGTTTGGTCCAAATGTTGAATACTTTTTTAAATTTAATTTATTTTGTTGTTACACAGGAAGGTTTGTTTATATGCATGTCCAGTCCCAGAGTTTAATCATTCCTCTGGAATCTGGGGTTGCCAGTGTGACGATTGAGCAGTGCTTGTTGTTTATTTCAGTTTTTATTTCCAGCTTTCACACTCCTCAACCTGGAAAAACATGGGAAACGATGAATGTACTGTACAAAGCATTCTCACTGGACTCTGAAGTAGCTGTCAAGTCTCTGCTATTGATTTTTATATTGAGCTCAGTACTTTGGGATCCACTATTTAAATGAAGTTTCTACCATGCAGTAAATACTGATTTTTCTGTATTATAAAATGTATTTTGTTTTAAACTGCTGTTGGAATTTTTCTTTTCATGTTCAAGTCATGGTTACAGGTAGGGATTTGTGAGGTGTGGTGCTGATTTCTCTACAGAAATTGTTCTCATTCTCTCAGGCCCTAGATTAAGTTTTGGAGTCCATTTTGTGACTGTGGTTCATTTTAAAATTTATTTCTTTTTAATTGTTTTACAGTTGTCTTGCAAATGAAGTAGATTATTTTTACTAAAGTATAATTAACGCTTAGAAAATTAGGTACTTGTACAAAATAATATTAAAGTGTTTCATATTTTGTTAGTTGGTCATATGCAGTAGTTTTGCAAATGTGCAAATATTAGAAAAGCGGCACAAAAATAAAAGCTATCTGTTCATTAGCGTGAATCCTTTGCACAAGCTTTAAAAATTAGGCCTGCGACAGTCCATCAGATTACATGTGACATTGGCCATCTTCTCAGCCTTGAAACGGAAGAGATTTGGTTCCTCTGATGTGTCTGTACTGTTTATGCCTTTGCCTTTAGACCAGACCGTACTCTTCTCTGAACACCTCCTTTTGCAAGTGTGTTTTTCTGGGCAGAATTATACACTTTCTTCTAATGTGGTCTGTCAAGTTGTGCCTTCACTATATATATTGTTAAAGGCTGGGAAAAACTGGGAGAAACCCCCTAATCTTTGAGAAACACGGTTTTATGTCTCATCCTAAGGACAGCACCGTTCTTACAGTGTAGTGTCCATATCACTATACTGGGGTATTAGGACCCACACAGACTGCAGGGCGAGCGCCCCCTACTGGTAACACTAACACCTCTTCCAGCAGCAACCTTAGCTTTCCCAAGAGGTCTCCCATCCAGGCACTGCTTAGCTTCAGTGGGCTGACAGCTGTGAGCTCCAGGGTGATATATCCGATTTATCTTACCTGGCACTTCATGATCGCTATGAGCCTGATCACGGTCGGGGGACCCAATTTTAAAGTATATGGGGTTTTGTGTTAATAATCCAGTGAGGACGATTACTGCTGAATTTAAGAGCATCTCTGTGCCTAATACTGTCAGGGAGGGGGTGCTGGGACGATCTGGGACCCTGGACTCCCTTCTGCCACAGTCTGGAGATGTGCTTGTTACCACACAGTCACTCCGGCTTCGAGCAGGAGCTAAGCTGTCGCCAGAAAAAGGTTAAGACCCTGGAGGAAAGCAGCGCAGTCCAGAGAGATACACGTATGACACCCGATTTCTAGTTGGGCAGCTGTCATGGATCTGAAAGGAATAAACAAACGCACCTCCGATCTGTAGTGTGACATTGAAAGAGGAAGTGTCCTCTCTGTCCACGCAACGGCCCTTGCACTTTTCACAACTTCCCCAGGAAAAAGGATACTCCATAGAATTCAAGACTTCTTCATGTTTGGTCAGAGCATTTGCTCGCCTCACAGTGCAAACTTTTTTTTTTTCCTTTTTGCCCTTCTACTTCTTTTTACTCTTCTGGAATTAACCTCTGACTGTTCCTTGGTTACACAAGAAGCATTCTTTAAAAGTGACATAGGAACTTCTTTTACGATGCAGTTGTTTTCAGTTTTGTGGCTTACATGCCTTTGGTCACTTGCCCGTAAGTATGTCTTAAGTGTTTGTGTGTGATTGTAAAACTAAGACGAATCTTGTGCTGTGTTTCTGTCCAGAAGATGAGCACTATGAGTGGTTGGCAGGCCGAGGGAGGACTTTGGCGCACACTACGGTGCATTGCGGTATTTGAGAATCAATGTCAGGTTTTTCTTTGTCATCATTTAAAACAGCATTTGAGAGAGAGGACAGAGCTCAAAGAACTGGTCAAGGGGCCGAGTGGTGGCACCGTGGCTAAGGATCTGCGCCTGTGGCCGGAAGGTTGCTGGTGCAAATCCCACGGCCAGCAGAGGAATCCTACTCTGTTGGGCCCCTGAGCGAGGCCCTTAACACCAGCTGCTCTAGGGGCACTGTATAAATGGCTGACCCTGCGCTTTGACCCCAAGCTTCTCTCTTCCTGTCTGTGTGTCTCATGGAGAGCAAGCTGGGGTCTGCGAAAAGAAATTCTTAATGCAAGAAATTGTATATGGCTAATAAAATGATAGATACATATTATAATAGCTGATCATTACAAAAACGTGCTGTTTCATAATTTAAGGTGTTGTAACCCTGTTTTTGGCAGTTGGTATTGAATTAGACTTTGTTTTGATTAGTCTGGATCCTGTCGGAATAAGGCATTATACATTATAAAATAACATTTCAGACTGACGTAATTCAGTCCTACACTCCGTCACTGTTATGAGTAAAGAAGAATGAGGGTTTAAACCCAACAGTGGAGAGCTGTTGTTAAACTGAGCAAAGAACTTCAGTAAAATGCCAAGCTCTGAAAATGGATAGGAAGACAAGTCACTTTGCAAAAAAGTGTTGAGCAAATAGTAACAAGTATAATATGGGAAACTATCAAATGGATTTAACGGTCAACAGTTCATCTACTCAAGCTTGTATTACTACCGTTATAATCAATACCCGCAATTAAAATGCCACCTAGCTACAAGTTAGTTATTAATATGCTTCAATTGAATTTAAAGTCGGCCATGAATGATTCAAGACTGTTAAAACCTTACTTTCTGGAGTTTTCTGGAGCTTTAAGATGGCCATTTACTGAGAGAGGAAAATTTTGTGGTGCCTTTTCACATGACAGTTTTCGGTCTTGGAGGTTTACTGCTGTGCTTTTGTCGCACAAAGGTTTTTATGCATCCCTGTAAGGGCAGAGCGTTTTGTCTCAGAGAGAGTTTAAGCACCGGTCTGACATGAGGAAACCCAGCGAGATCAGCAGAGCTCAATCGGTTCGCTGGTTTAGCCATCAGGCTGTACTGTTGGATGATTGGGAGCGATCAGTAGCTACGTAAGTGTGGCCAACCAGGCATGTTCGAGGCGGGCAGGTTATCCCCAACACTACATCGGTGACCCCAAGAGTCTGCCAGTGGAAGCTGCATCACTAGCAGGATTGATGCTGCCTCTCCTGTAGGACCAGCCCCAGTGTGTAAAAAAGGTAACTGGCTCTACAGTGCACAAGCCTTGGGGGAATGGAGTACATAGTGATGGTGAACGAGCCATTGGGGAGGGTGAGCTCCAGGTTGATGAGTCTCCCCATTACATTTTACTGTAAAATAAAAAAAATGACAGGCCATTCAAAATAATGACCATGCTTATCTGACCTGTTTTCTTTCATCATTTTTCAAGAACCCGGTTATGGCCCATTCCAAGCACGTTGATTCTTACTTTTTAAACTAAATTAAATGACACTTATCTATTTGACTTTTGCGTCCCATGTGAAGGATGACATGTTCGGAATAATGGCACTGCCTGTCTCCAGAACAGGGCATTGCTTAGGACAGTGGTTCTCAAACTGTGGTACGCGTACCTGCAGTGGTACGTGGCGTGCCGCCAGGTGGTACGCCAAATGACCCTGGAACTGTGTTGTGTGCGCTGAAAAAAATCGGGATGGGTTTTCATATTTTGTATTTTTATACGTGTCGAATAC